TTTGAGGTCCCTTCCAACCCCTAAGATTCTGTGATTCTGTAATAAAAATAGCTCATTTTGGGTTTTTTTCATCTCATCATCTTCTGAGGCCTGGTACAAGTTGAAGGCTCCTAAAAATAATATTTTGTTGTTACTATTTTTAGTGAGACTTTACAGAACTCATCCTAATAAAGCCCTGATTCAGTCATTTGTCTAGTTAAATTAAATTTGTAAAGTAGCAACAGTCTGCTTTGGGAGTCAATGCATCCCTCGAGGAGGTGGGTATTGTAGTCAGTCAGTAAGATTGCCCCTACTTACACCACAAATAAATCTGTTGCTTTGTCCCAATGTTCCTGCTTTGCAATAAATTCACATTCCAAATTATAAACCTCTGAAAATTGTAGATTATAATAAATGTGCTCACACAACTTCAACTATTAGAGTAAATGACATTGCTCATTGCTCTAATAATGAAGTAAAAAAATCCTACTTAATCCCATTCTTTCTCTAAAGTGCTGTTTTGCATTAGCTACGGATCAAAAGACAAACACATACATGTATATTCAAAAATAATGTCAGCTGGGTCAGAGAAGTATAGGAAATAAAATTAATTCATAACAACTCTGAAGGTAGCTTTCTGATACAAGTAGTTGTCTCTTTGATTTGCCTTCATTTACGGTATTCATTGTCAATTTAACATACCCACCAAATTGGCCTTTATTAATAGGTGGCCTGATCTTCATAACAAACACATTCTTTAATTTCCAGTCTGGGTGTTTCTGAGGTTAACAATTACAAACAGCAGAATAGATCATATGTGTATTTAAAGGGATCTTTCACTCAAGAGGGACAAATTTCATGTTCAAACCATGCAGACAGTATTTGAGAGAATTGTAGATATGGAGCTCATCTGTCTCAGGGTTTTGAAACTGAAATGGGTTACCTCTCTAGATGTGATAGTGAAATGGTCACCTTGGTAGCTGGCAATCTTAAAAGCCCTTATTGGGCTTTGAGTGTGATTGGATGCTACTTGCTTATAAATGAGAGTTAATAGAAACATTAAACAGAACAAGCTACTGTGACCCATGTCTTCAGAATATTAAGCACATTTTTAAATTGTGGAAGACCATGTAGTCCTCTGCTCTCTGTAAAATATTACCTCTTCTAACCAATATCCTCTGGGAGCAGGTTATTTGAACTCTTCAGCATTCTACTTTCATTTGCACATACTATGTATTTTTAATTTATTCCCTCCATTCTCTGGCTACCATATATTTATTGTTGATACCATACTCAGTTTCTCTTTAATTATTCCATCTGCCAGGAGACTGTGATGCATTTCAGAAGCTGTGTGGTTTAGTTGTTTAACCTTTGAGTTTTGTAACTGAATGGGTTGACATATTCTTCATTTAGCAGAACAGGCTAAGAAGAATTATATACTCCAAGTGATAAGCTTGGAACTGCTAAAGAAATACCAAAATCCAATTTTTTCCTCTCTCTAGTCGTCTAAACATCCATTAGTCTCTGGAAGGGAACTCATAAATCCTGCAAATTTAGTTTATCTGAAACCAACTCCTAACAGTTGTCCTTCCTACTAATCATGTTTTATATCCATTTTATATTTTTCAATATTCAATAAACATGTCTTGCTCTTACTGTACTAGTTAGAAAGTGTCTGCAGTGTAAGCTGTATGAGGACAGTTATTCATCAGCCATTTCAGATGGCTGTTTGGTTAGTTTAGTAAGTGTATTCATTTATCTTTTTCATGTTTTCTTCTTTGTTCTTTCCATTTATCCAATATGGAATTCCCTTTGTCCTTTTTGGTCGATTTCTAGCAGGGTCTGTCAAAAAAGAATTTAACATTTATATATGGAATTCCCTTTGTCCTTTTTGGGCAGGGTCTGTCAAAAAAGAATTTAACATTTAACAAATGAAAAATAACAAACCAAAACCAACGAAACAAAAAACCCCAAACAAACAAAAATAGCTGGAAAGAAAAAAAAAACACACACAAAAAAAAAAAAAACACAAAAAAAACCCCAACAAAAACCCCACCATCCTTTGGGCTTCATTCATTAAAAGATCCTTTGCATTATGTCCTCTTAAATCTGCATTAAAAATAATAATATAGTATATTATCTAGCAGTGCTTCTTTAAAGTGGGTAATTTACATATTAAAGTGAGATGTAGGTTTAAAAGTAAGAGTGTAGAATTGGAGTGAAGAGTCAGAAGGATATAGTCCTTAATGAATATCGTCTCTGTTTCCTGGGGGTATTGTCCTTCTGGAGTGTAATGAGACTTGCAGATAACAATCTGGGGCCATGGATAGATAGATAGATAGATGGAGGTGCATTGAGAAAGGCACAGCAATAATGACACTGTGGAAACAAATGGATGTGTCTGCTAGATAACATTAAAAGTTCCTGTTCACCACCAAAGACCAGGCTTCAAAAGATTAATATTTTCTGAAAAATTCTGCACTGAGTTTGCACAGCAAGGTTTGGCAGGAGGGGTTGACACAGACTGACACGACAACACTGCAGGGGTGGCTTTTGTGAGAAGATGCCAGAAATTTCCCCCATGCCCAATAGAGCCCATGCCAGTCAGCTCCAAGGTAGACTCACTGCTGGCCAAGAGTGAGGCCATTAGTGACAGTGGTAGCATCTCTGGGATAACACATTGGAGAAGGGGAAAAAACTACTGCACAACAGAGCCAGAAGAGAGGAGTGAGAGAAACAGTGAAGAAGGAGGAGGAGGTGCTCCAGGCACCAGAGCAGAGATTCCCCTGCAGCTCTTGGTGAGGACCATGGTGAGCCCTTGGAGGACCACACACCAGAGCAGGTGCATATACCTGAAGGAGACTGTGACCCTGTGGACAGTCCACACAAGCAGATCTTCCAGCAGGATGTGGAAAGAGGAGTCCACCCTGGATCAGATTTATTAGCTGGATTTGTGACCCTGCAGGAGGACCTGTGCTGGAGTCTGTTCCTGAAGAACTGCAAGCCATGGGAAGAACCTATGTTGCAGAAGTTTGTAAAGGTCTCCCATGGGAGGGACCCAGCATTGGAACAGCAGAAGAGTGTGAAGAGGAAGAAACAGCAGAGACACTGTGTGATAAACTGACTACAACCCCCATTCCCCGTACCCCCGTGTCACTCAGAGGGAGGAGGTAGAGAAAATCATGAGCCTAGAAAGAAGGGAGGGGTGGAGGCATGATGTTTTAAATTTTGGTTTTATTTCTAATTTCCCTACTCTGATTTGATTGATAAAGAATTAAATTAATTTCCCCAAGTCAAGTCTGTTTTACTTGTGACACTAACTGCCAAGTGATCTCCCTGTCCTTAACTTGACCACAAGCCTTTGTTATATTTTCTATCCCCTGTCCTTCTAAGGAGGGGATTGACAGAGCTGTATGGTGGGCACCTGGTGTCCAGCCGAAGTTAAGCCACCACATTGTTACTTTTAGAAGATTCTCTGTCCATGCTACAGTCTTACGTTTATGGGTTCACGTATTACAGGGAGGCATCTGCCATTTATCAAGACATTAATGAGAGTAGTTATGTGTCCAGATACTTTGTAACCACCCCGACAACAGAGGTCACCAAAAGACAGATGACTTACAAACCAGTTTAAAGATCTCTTTGCACTTTCTCTTTTTAAGAGCACCAGCAGGACTTTGAACCTTTTGATATTTCCACATTGGGATTACTGTCCCCTCCTTAAAATTCCTTATACCAGGAGGCTTCCATGATTTACTTGTAGTCTTCAAACAAAAAAAAACAACAACACCTACCTAACAGAACATCCATTGATTGCTACAGTTATTTAAAGGCTAACAATAAAAAATCATAGACCTCAGTCTCCATCAAGGCAGAAAGGAAACAGTAATTGCAATTTGCAAGCCTCCTGCCGTGGGTAAAGGAGTTTAGGCAGGGAGAAAGGAAGCTTGGCAATTTTAGTGGCTGTCATATTGGATCTGGTTGAGATGTGGTGATTCATTCATATGTCATCCCATGATGAGAGAATTTGTCAAGGTGAAAAGATGGGTGTGAGGTAGAACTGTGCCCAGAAGAATTGAAGCTCTGAGGGGGACCACCAGATAAAAGCATGAACATATAGGAAGCTGTATGGGAGTGTATTTGGTGACTGCTAGTCATGTCTATTTAGGTAGACCTTGAAAGAAGAGGCCTTTTCTGCAAAGATTGAACAGCAAATAATATGGTTCCTACTCTGTGTGTTTTGTCATACCCAAGTCTTGGATTGAAACAACAACAACAAAAAAGAGAATATGAATGTTAATATAGTAATATGCATTATTCAGCTCCTTCTGCCAAAGGAAAGGAAGGAGGCATTGGGACAGTCACATCTTTTAGAAGTTTCCTTCCACTTTAATCAAGAGCAGGGATCAGTGATGTGAGATTTCCCTGTATTAAAAAAAATATATATTAAAAAAAAATAATTAAATGGGGATATGATTTAGTGGATTGCTAGCTTGGAAAATGTTTGCTCTGCATTCAGATATTAGCAACTGTGACATCCCATCAAAGCTCAAACAATCTCCTCCTCTTCTTGCTATTCTCGGTTTGATAAGGTAGGAATTGGCACCAACCTCAAAGAAGATCAGTGATGCCCTAGATCAGGAATGAAACATGGAGGAACTTTCCTCAGTTTTTAACAATCTCAGCGTTTACTCTCCCTTCCACCTTCTGATGTAGAAGACAATACACAAAGACATATATGGACTAATCACTGTCAGACAGTGTGCAAATAAAAGAGAACATGAAAGAGAAGTTAACTTCATGATGGATGAGTCCAAAAGTAATTTGTTCTTACCCAGCATCACAAAGAAGGACTAATTCATACCTACATGGACTATTAATCAGTTTACTTATCACCGATCAGATTTTGTTGTTGTTGAATTGAGAGTTGTTCCTTTGACTTTGCTGAAGGTTAGATTCAGCCCATTGTATATCAAATTAATTCATTAAAAGTAATTCTGTATTGTCTCTTTTTTTTTCAGAATGCTTGAGGATGATCTGAAACTCAGCAGTGATGAAGATGACAATGAGCAGGTAACTACATCTGATACAAGTGCATAGACTATATAATCTGACAAAGTTGTTTCATCAGTTGTAGGTGATTGCAAGTTGGTTTGCTGTATTTGCACCAAGAGCACTTTGAGGTGCAGCAGAATCCCATAGCTTAAATGTTGCTTGCATGTAGAACCTCTGTGGGAGGAAACTTATTTTTAAATAGGAATGCATTTTCTCAGATTTGCTGAATTAACCTTGTGAAGTAGATTAAACTAAACCAAAACATGACTTACTAGCCTTGGAATAGGGGACCACACATGGGAGCACCCAGGAATAGCTAACGTGCTCTGAGTTCCTATCCTCCATTGTACCAAACTAACTGTGGATTTTCCTCCACTTGTTTTGCACTCAGTTTCTTAAATAGATGACCATTTTGGAAGTGTATGTAAAATGACCACATCAGACCACCAACACAACTGCAGAGTCACTTTGCACTTTGCAGTTCGTTTGTACATTTGCACTTGAGAAGGCTGGGTGTGTAAAGTTTGTTCCACTGAGAGACTAAAAGGTCGGGACTCCATAGTCAGTAATTCAGTGATTCTCATTTGTGAGAGGGAAAATCTTTAGTGTGTAGCTGTAAATCAATACTGAAAGTCTCTCAACCAGCTACTTGGGACCTTAATGAGGAATCATTTTCAGAAAACTGTCTCATGTCATTCTCTATCCTTCCCACTTTATAAATATTTATGGATAATGCTGGGAAATAAAGCTGGTGAAATTCATATTCTCAAAATTCTTACCAGAAGAAAACCAAACAAAACACAGCAGACTTTGGGTTAAATTCATCCTTCATGTTACTTTATGTATGCAATAGGCTCAAATGTTTAAATCCCTGCAATAAAGATGAAGAGAACGCTATAATTCAACATAAGATCATCTCTTCAGCCTGGGAATTGTAATTATAAATCGATCTTTCTTTCTTATTTATTTTTAAACCACCTAACTGCTCTCCTTCAACCTACCTAATCCATCCTTTAGGGTCATGCCAGGAAAGATCTACCTTCTGATGTCAGTTGACCTCTTACTCATACAAGTCAGTGTTTTTTAGCTGAGATGCCCAAAATATAGAAATGGAAATGTATCATGAGGTAGGAGTTACTTTAGTTTTTCCACAGTAGTAGTTTTCTAGTGACAAGTAGAATTATTCCAAATTTACACAGCTGACACTGCCAAGATGAAATTATGTATCATTGCTGAATGGAGAAGCAAATGCCTGGACCAGTGTTTGCTGACATCAGTCAAAAAGCCTTCACTGACTTAAATAGGTGTCGTCTCTGATGTTAATCCCAAGCAGGAGAGACATGGCTATGTCTGCACTGCCCAGTGGAGTATTGACAGCTCCCAGAATATCACTGCTGTGGTGTTGTGCACATGTACCTCTTACCCAAAGGCAGCGTCGGGCATGTGAACAGCGGCATATTGCTCCAATGTCCTTGTGTGGTGATGATGTGTCTGAGCTGTAGGAGGTCTCAGACTGTGCGAAAACTCCATGTGACTTCCCCAGGAATACCATTCACAGCATAAGCTGCAGACATACAAGAAAGCACAGTGAAGACCATTCATGTAGTTTCTCAAAATTTTACAGTACGTAAAAATTTATTTGCCTTTTGGCAGTGTGAGTTTCATCTCACTCTGAGTAATTAGAATTGATTCAAATCTCCTAAGCTTTCCTAAATAACTTCTTAAAAAACAGATTATGTTCCGTATATTTAGGGCCACCAAACATGAATGCTTCCCATAATGTACAAAAAAAATTAGCTGCCTGGACAAGAAGAATGCTGAGCATATTTCTTAAGTGCCCTGCACTTCACCTTTCCTATGTTCCCCACACATGTATGGTTGCATCTCTTCATTAGTATTGCAAATAGAGGGTATAGACAAAGTTGCCCACATTATAGGAAAGAATCTCATAGCCTTTTAGGTTTCTGGAATGAGTGACTGTGTATGTCTGTCCTTTAGATTTTTGTCACACACTGCATCCCAGAGTAAGGCCTTGCAAAGCTGAGCAACACGTCTCTGCTGTATCACTCAGGCATTACACTGGCAGTGCCTTCATACTTTAGCAGCTTCTGCCACATCTTTTTAAAGAGAGGGGTTTGGAAATGGAAATAAATGTTGGTCTGGCCCAATAGTCAGACACATAAACATCAACAGAATAACTGCAATGTTTTTGACTGCAAAATATTTTTTTCCAAAAGGTATATAAAATATTTGTTAATGAGGGACAGACCAAGGCAATTAATTACAAAGTGCGAATTTTAAAATTATGAATATTCAGATGTGGAGCCCAAGGTTAGACAAAAACTTTTTTTTTTTTTTTAACACAGAGATTTTTCAGTCAAGTGACCATTGTAATTCAGCTGTACATATGTGCATTCTGACAGGGAGAGAAAAGATTAAAACTCTTAGGTCAAAACTACTGTTTATGCAACTTTTCTATAAAGAATTTGAATCGTTGTCTTTACAATCTTTCTGAGTTGTCTGGGGTTTTTTGGTGTTTTTATTGCTATAGGCTTGCAGCCAATGTGAAGCATGAGCTGGCATTTACTCATCTTTATTAGTAGAAACACAGTATGTAAAAATCAAGTTTGATATTTTTATCTCATATTTCAAGGAAATTGAAATCCTTTGAGAGCAGTGGTCAGTAGGGAGCCCTAGGATCTGTCCTTTGAGAATTGCTAGGGACCCTTCAACCTTTACATGGCAAAGGCAGTAGTGACACTGATCCAAAAATGAACCTTGATTTCAACTTCTAGTGAATGTCTATAGTATGTGGAGAGAGTCTGATCAATCAGCCTGTCTTCTGAGACTACCAGTAGTCCATTTGTCATGGTGGAAGACTGTTAGAAGCTTGTCTGCAAAAAAACAAAGCTCTTCTGTCTTATTCTCTCATTCCTATGAATGAGCACACTTATTTCTAATCTGTATTGCATTTATTTAGGGGTCCAAGGACCTTGTGCTCTTTCAGGTGTTAAACATCTTCCTTTTCTCTGCACTGCTGAGGAGAATCCTGACACACATGATAGCTCCAGTCAGTTATATAATTTAAGAAGTTGAGCCTGATTTCTGGATAAGATGAGAACAACCAGGTTGAAGTCAGTGGAAGGTTTTTATTCTATAGATATAGGGCTGTTACTGCATGTGCTGACCACTTTTCAAACAGGATTTTAAAAAACTGGAATTGGTTCCTATGAGTTATGCACATGATCTGGAGACCCCTTCCTACTATACATGTTAGATCATTTTTGGTTCAGCCAAGAAGAGCTAGAGCATGTATGATGGTGGCCTAGTAACATATCACCAAGAAAAAGATTTGTGAAAAGAGGCTATACACTTCAATTTCATTCCAGAGGGCTTTAGAGGCTTTACCAAGTAAGAGCTGACTGGAAATCCAAACTACTTGTGCCAGAATGCTGAAAACTACATGGAAACCTTGTGGTTTCCTTCTGCTTTTAGACTTCTGGCAGTTGTGTGCTTCATGTACAAGTTGTCAAGTGAATTTCCTTGGGCTGTGACATCAGGGAGGTCCAATGAGGTGTTCTTTGCCGGTCCCTTCAAACTTCAGATCTGTAAAGCTTTGGACAATATTGATCTTTGCAATAGAGCGTGAGGCAAGTTACAAGTCATTCCGCTTCAGCTGCAAATTCCTGTCATCACTTCTTGGACCTAGGGTGGAGATTCTGTAGTTATCACCTACATCTAACACATGTAAACACACCCCACTGTATCTTCAGTGTAGACACTTTGGAGCTGGCCATATGACACATGCTTTGTCCCATAGACAAAATGCTGATTCTTACATCTCATTGCTGGTGACTCGGGATTAAAGACACACATAAAAGACGGGTTAGATCTGGAATCAATTTTCATTTACAGCTGAGAAGCAGTTATTGATGCTGTGCTCACAGTTCAATAAAAGATCTAAAGATATAGACCTTGTGTTTCTCTTTCAATATAAGCAGCATAATCAGTCTCAAATGTTTTTACAAAGAAAATTGTATTGACAGTTTTATTAAAATTGCTGTCTTTAAAGTTTTAAGTTATCCAGAATTTCACCTACTTGAATGATTTTTAATATGCACACTGACCAACCCAATAGATTTTTATGTCACATATTTATAATACCAGGTACACATCTGTTTAATGTATTATTTGAGAGATATTGTTACGTTTAAGCGTTGCCTGAATTCTAAACTCTTGTTGTATTGTCACCAAGAGGAACACTGGCATAGGCATCAGTATTGCCTTCAGAAATCCTACTGCACAATATTTTTAGATCAGCTACAAGAGATAAGGCAGATGACAGATGTGTTATTAGTAAAGCCATTAGATGACAAGGCATTTCAGAGATGCTAATTTTAACACTCTTCTGTGAGGAAAGATAGAGCTTTTAGATGGCTTTATTACTCTGTTAAAAAATACAGGAGAAATTAGTAAAAGCAGTGAAGATTTTTAATTAGTAGCTTGGTTCAGCTAAAAGAGCTAGATAAAACAAAGGTTAGTATTTCTTTGCTTTAAAACACCTCTGTATAATTCAAATTAGCTTTGAGCTCAAAGGCATCCAAATGAGTTGTGCCTGGATACAGTATTTTAAGTAGCTGTAGTGTACCCAATTTTCTTTAACCAGCTCCTCTTTGTTCTTCTGCCTAAGGAACAGTCCTGTTAACCTTTGAAACGTGTACTTAATTTAAAGCACATTTAAAGCACAGAGTTCTGTGTGTTTTTGATCCAAAGAAACTTTGATACTAGTTACAGACCTGCTCATTTTCAGTATTTTATGTATATAGTGTTTGGGGCAGAACGAATCAATAAGATGTTATTCTTTTCTATTTGATTTTTTTTTCTTCCTTCCCTTAATGATTGCCACTTTATTGCCACTTCTCTGATAACCATACAAACACACGACACCCTTATAATCCTTGGCCCTGCTCTGTCGTTCATATTTGACACAAACGGCATTCTTTTTCACTAGGTTAGTA